CCCCCCAAAGCAAATAAACCCCTCAGCTCATTGTCATGCTCACACCTTGGTAAAGTGACAGTTCACTGGCCTTTAGTCATCATTGCTTTGTTACCAGAGCTGGGTCCAATGTTGGATTTTGAGATGCAGCTGAACACAACATTGGTTGCCATCCTGCCTGCAGGTACTCCTGCTCCAAGATCTCACCCAGGGAGGATCCCAGTTCTTCTCCCCCCAAATCGGACTAGTTTAGCCATGAAATACAGGCAGATGTTCCTTAAGCTGACCCCATCCTCGGGTCCTTGCCTTGTACCTTGGTTCCTCCATCCTCCTGGAATTGCTGTCTGGCTGCTTCTCCATCCTGAAGCCTCTGCCAAACTCCTTCCCTCCAATATCAGACAGATCTCTTCCTCAAAATCCCTGGATGATGCTCCTCCTCAGGAGCAAGGAGGTAGCTGTGGGATGTGGTTGGTGCTGGCTGGAGTAGGAGCCTTGTTTTCCTGGCACATGCCTTGCGGTAGATCTTTGCGTGTTGAACAGCAGCGCTGTATCAATGATGATAAAAATAGCCATGTGCAAAGCGTTATCACAACCTCTGCTTCAGCTGTCACCCAGCCAAGCAGTGCACACAGACAGTCCCGTCCAGCCCAGCACGAGGATAACTCCACCAGCCACATGATGCACTTTTCTGCTTCTCCTCTCTTAAATTCTAGAAATGGTTCAGCATCCAAAGCTAAAATCAGTAGGGAAGGTGTTTGGTCTGCAAGGGGAGAGGAAGGCACGGAAAATACCTCTGGAATAAATTCAAATTGGTTTTTTTTTTTCTTTCTGATGCATCATTTGTAAATTTTTTGGTGTATTTTTTTTTCCTGAGTGAACCATTTATTGCAAGTCTGGTTGGCAGGCACTGAAACCCCCTAAGTCATCCTGTAAATATGTATTTGCACCAGAAGTGTTTCAGTCCTCAAAGAGGGAGGTCTGCTGTGCCATGTGGCTGAAGAGATCCGATGCCAGGACAGGAAACACTCAGAAAATGATTGCAGCAATCAGGTTGTGAATAGCTGGAATACAGGTTGTGTCCTTTGCAACAGCAGTCAGAAAGATGTTGGGAAGGGTCTCTTGTCCAGTCTCAGCTGTTCCTTTCCCCATCATTGGTGTCTTTAGCAGGATAAAATCTTTGTAGAGCTGTTCATTCTTCATCAAAGCTTGACTGGTTCCAGCAGGTGGAAGTCACTACCTGGAAGTTCTGTTTCTTCTTCCGTGCTGACAAACTCTGGGGCTCCTTTGATCCCAGACAGGACCCCAGTCTCTGATCCCTGCCTTGAGCCTCTGATTCCACTGTTCCAGCTTCCCCACCTGGTGTCCCTAACCCAAGAGTGTCTAATCCTATCAGCAACTCACAACCTTCAGCTCTACCGCCGTGGTCTTCCTGACCATCTGCAGCTCCATTCACATCCTCATCCCTGTCCCAGGCCCAGGCACCCACCTCTGGCACCAGCTTCTCCCTGACAAAGTGTGTGGAGGTGTCTAGCACCTGCGGGCGAGGGACAGAGCTGAGCCTGCTCCGCCGGGAATGCCCCTTCCCTTGGCTCAGCCGGTGCCCCACGTTTGATATCGCGGCTGGGAAGTGGCAGCACTGACCTCTGGCTCCCAAGCTGGGGTTTGGCAACGCAGTGGGCAAACTGCTGCGGCAGCTCCAGCAGCTCCCTGTTTGCTCAGGCGCTCGGGGACGCGCAGATCAAAGGGCTCCGCATGAGTAACAGCGGCCCAGCCCTGCACTTTGTTCACGTTCCCGTCTCCCTTTCACAAGAGGCTGCCTCTGCCTGCCCGCAGGGCTCCAAGGGCTTGGTGGGAGGACGTGGGTGACCTCGCATGGTCCTCCAGGCAGTGTGCTTTGACCTCACCAGGCTGGCATGTGCACTCCTTTGGGTGGGTCTGGAAGCTGTCCTCCTCAGACTGCAGCAACCGGTGGGCTGCAAAAAGCCACTCCGCTCCTAATCCTGGAGCAGAGCTACAGCCCAGGCACTGCCTGAGATCCCCCCAGTGACTCTGGGGGACGGGGACCAGGGAGAGCAATGTGTGTGGGAATCAGGCCCATAGACAGCCCACGACTCGTGCGGCCATGGTGAGAAGTGGGGACCTGGCAGAAGGTTCTACTGCCTTGGGCCGGGAGGATTGTGCAGTGGTCAGCAGGGCTAAGGGGGCTGCAGGTCCCTCCCCAGGAAATCCAGCTCTGAAGCAAAGGAGCACATGGCACAGCTGGGGAGTTTGGTGTTGAGGTTTATGGGTTGCTGTGACTGTGAGCCCACCATAGAGAGAAACCTTCCATGAACCTCAGAGCTCCAGCAAGAGCCAGCCCCACAGCTCAACGCAAGTACAGAAACCACAGTGTAAACTCTCAATGTAAGCAGCAGGTGCTTCTTTCTCCTGTGAAGAGCCAAGGAGGCAGATACATCTCCAAATGGTAGATGTTAATACCCATCTACGATACAAAATGTCCACTGAAACCTCTGTTCTTTTGGACAGGCAAAGCTGGCAGGGGAGCGTGGAGCCCGAGCGATCCTTTTTGACATCACTGATGATGAAAGCGCTGCTGATCAGGTACAAACCTCATTGCTATTATTGGCTATTATTGGCTAGACCAAAGTGCCCTTCTCCCAGCCCAAAATGTGCCTGGGACACGACCCATCAGCCACCCCTAGGCAGCGGGAGGTCGCAGGAGGATGCTGCAGGCTGGCTTTGATCGTTAGCTCCTACACAGCTCAAGGTGCACGTAGACAGTGCGCTTGTCTTTTGCTCACTCTGTGGCACGTCCAGGTCCCTGCACAGCCCCAGAGCCAGCAGCCTGTGAACAGCACCTGCTGCTCTTACGGGACGTGGTCTGCTCAAATGAGCTTTTCTGCCAGGAGCTGAACGCTGCCTCTTGGGAAGTCACAGATTACCCAGTCCCATCTAGTACAGAAGTCCTGGTGTACCTTAGGGGAAAGGTGATTTCTCGAGTCTTCAAGCCAAAATCACAGCCACCCTGCTACACTGTTGGTGATACTCTTGCTTGCAAGTTTAACATCGGTTTAGAGACCTTCCACCAACACTGCTGTTATCTCTGGAAAGAAATAGGCTCCCCATCAAAAAAATCGAGGAATAATGAAAAGCATCCAGCATTAGATAAGAGGACAGATAGGGGAGCTGGTGGCTGAGGTTGTCAGACTCTGGGCTGACTCTTGCTCGCTGGATCCATCCATTGTGGTACTTTCATGCATTTACAACTTAACTTCTGATGCCAGAGAAATGCAGCAGTGAGTGCAGACCCACCAGGTGATGCTGAGGATGCTCAGTAAGGGTGTGGGAAGTGGTTGGTGGTCCAATGGCCACCCCGATTCAAGCCACTCTGGAGGAAAGGGCAGACTGTGACACTTGCTGATCCAGCCTGTGCCAGGCTGCCTGGACCGTGGTGGGAAACCAATGGTATGATCAGAAACAAACAGAATGTCCTGCAGGTGACAGAGGGAGGAGGGGGAACACTGATGGGTCTTAGAGGAAGAGAAGAGGAAGCATTTCTGTAGCAAAGGCAGCACTTGGCAGCGTTGTTGGTGGTTACAAGAGAGACCAAGAACTTTCACACAGGGGCTTGAAACAGGAGCACAAGAGACACTCCCAGTTATGCATGAGAAGGCACCATCAGAGGAAGTGAAGAAAGCCATGCTGATGAGTTGGTAAAAGAGGAGCTTCCATCTGATTTCATCATACAGGGATAGTGTGAGTTTGGGGGAGCAGTCAGTCTCTAAAGTGTGTGCAAGAAGCATCAAGAGGAACCAGTCGTGCCCAGGGGGCCAGGATAGTCCTTGTTTCAGGCTCTTCTGGACCATCTCTCACTGTGTTTGTTTCTTTACAGCTGAGAAAGCCCAGAGGTCTGAGTCAGCCTGTGGTTCTGATCAGAGGCCACGACGCTGAGCTTCTCATGGGCGTTGTGAACAAGAACAGAGAGGCCCATGTGAAGATAGAGGTCAAAGAACCACCAGCCTGGGTGAGACACACCATTCCCACTGCCTTCTGTATCCTCCCTCCCAAGCTGCCCTGCCATGGAATAGGATTTTCCCAAAGATGCTGAGCTTTCCTCCCCAGGGATGGAGGTCACAGCCCTTTCCACGAGCTGCCTGTCTGCAGCATTCAGATGATGTGCTGCAAATAAAGGCTCAAAAGCACTTTCAGCTTATGTAGTTTCTTTTGCTTAAACACCATGAGTGAGATGAGGGGTTTCCCTGACTCTTCAGGTGAGACCAAGCCTTTCTCATCTTGTGCTGCCTTAGACCATGGCCTCTAGGGAGCTGAGATGCTGCAAGACAGATAAATTCCATTCCTGCTGGAATGTGCAGAAAATACTGAACGCTTTTTATTTTACCTTCAAAGAGCAAGGAGGTAGAGCTTGGCCAAGGATCATGTATTCAAAGGCTGACAGTCAGGAAGAGATGGGGATTCCCCTGCCTGCCTCTAATTCCCACCCCTGCCACAGAAGAGTAATTTTTTTCCTGTGTTATCCAACAGCCAGACTACGACGTGTGGATTCTTCTCACAGTGGTCAGCACTGTGGTCGTCATCATTTTGATTTTTGTTGTCCGCACAAAGTGCCAGCTGAACAGGACTCAGGTAGGAATCTCATGGGGCAAATGTGTCTGAGCAAACAGAAATGCACGGAGGGCAGGAACAGACCCAGCTTGGGAGGGGAAATGTGCCTCTCTGAGAACTGAAGATGTGGCCAGATGAGGCAGGAGCAGCTCAGGGATGAGCGGAGTGATTCTGAGATGTGCTGACAGCGTCCCTGCCATGGTGGCCTTGCTCTCCTCCTGCCACCTCACCAGTACTTCAGCCCCAGTGCCTTTTAGAGTTCGTCCCAGCACCCAGAGCTGCAGAGCTGGCCCTCTTCGAGCCCTTGATTTTAGCAATATTGTCTGTATTGGTAAAGAGTAGAAGATTTAGTATTTTTAATAGAAACTAACAAATTAAATATTCGTCTCTCCAGACTCAGATGGATTTCCAGATTTGAGAATACCCTATTGGTTCTATAGAAAGACAAGCTTTTGGGGCTCAAAAATTCAGCACTGCTGGGTGATTTGAATGTTTGAAGAGATCCGATGCCAGGACAGGAAACACTCAGAAAATGATTGCAGGAATCATGCAGATGTCTCCTGCTGGTGACAAAGCTAAGTCAGGTTAGACAAAGAGTCACCTCAGGAAATGAGCATCACCCCCACATTCCTCATAATCCCACTTGGAAAGCAAAAGGGCAATGAGAAGTATGGCAATGTAGGGCTGAGCCTCTCCTTAAAGCCTCCTTTCTCACCAGCAGGACTCCGTGCAGCAGCAGACCATGCAGGCCATCGGGCAGCTGGCCACACGCAAGTACCAGGCCAGGGGCCGGCCGGCGTCACGGTGGGACTCGGCCAGCAGCTGCAGCTCGGCCCCGGTCTGCGCCATCTGCCTGGAGGAGTTCAGCGAGGGCCAGGTAGGCTGTGGTCAGGGCTACGGGTTAGTCACAGCTCTGGGCTTCCCAGCTGCAGTGTGATGGGAGCTGAGAAGTCTGGCAGGGACAGGAGGCCCTTGGGATGTTTCCTTCAGCAACTCCTGAGGGCTGGGAAAAGGCTGGGAAAGGACTGGCATTGATGGAGGTCTGCTTGCCCCTTGGATATAAAAGCCCTGCCCCTGCTGAAGTCACTTGCCTGCAGACTCAGATTCCCTGAAGACAGGTCTCCAGCTGCCGCTGGAGGGTCAAATGTCCGTGAGAAGTCCATGTTGAAACAATGAGGCAAAAGTGGCGTTGGCTTCTCCAAAGCACTCAGCCTGACCTCCCTAGTCGCGAGGACTAGTGCCTCTCTGGATGTTCACACCCCAGAGCTGGACGGAGCGAGCAGAACCGGAGCTGCCAGCCTGCAGCATAGCCTCCTCCAGGCAGAGCTGGGCTGCAGATCACTTGCGTTAGACATCTTTCCATCCTACAAGGTCTGCTTCTGAGAAGGACCCATCCAGGTCTTGGCACGTAATTCTCCTTGCTCACACTCCTCCTCTTCTCTCCACCTCTCTCTAGGAACTGCGAATCATCTCATGCTCCCATGAGTTTCACCGGGAATGTGTTGACCCCTGGCTCCAGCAGCACCACACGTGTCCGCTTTGCATGTTCAATATTCTTGGTAGGGCTCAGACACAGCATTTCCCAGCCAGGGACGGGGCTAGGGGATGGAGTTGTGCCCAGGAGGTCCGTGTACCCTTGCGCGATGAGTCAGTGCATCTGCAGGGGCATGTGTCTCCGTGCACATGGGTGTGCAGGGTGGTGTGTACATGGAGAGGGGTCCCTGTGCGTGTGACCCCCCACAGCACACAGCCAGGGGCTGGGACCTGCACCAGAGGAGGGCTTTCTGGTCCTGAGACCGCGGGGAAGGGAGGTGGGATGCGAGAGTCAGGGCAGGAGGGAGGGTGCTGAGTGTGCAGCACCACCAAGATGGTTTGCAGTGAGGAGCTGCAGGGCATGGGTGGGACATGGCGGTGTGGCAGAGGCTCACTGGTGCTGGGGCACAGAATGTGGGACCTATGCTGGATGCTCCCTTCTCTCTCCGCAGCCAGAGATTCAGGGGACCAGACCATGGCCGCTGGCTCCAGGCTGGCCCCTCGGGACATGGAGCCTGGACGGCGTCTCCACCTTTTCCGCCAGCACCCAGGACATGCCCTTTACCACCTCCCACATGCGTATCCTCAGAGGAACTTCAGGAGCTTTCCCCCGGACCCAGCCCATGGCAACCCCTTCTTCCACTCTCCAGAGCTCTCCCAGCTGGATTTTGGCACCATCCACTACATGCCCTACAGGCCAGCCACCTCCCTGCTCGCCTGCGGCCACCCTTCCCCCCTTGCTGCGGGCTTACTGGGCCAGCAGCATCCCAACCCCTCAGCATGTGGGCAGACGCTGCCATCCCACAGGACTTGTTCTCTGGAGCCCCAGCCCCCCTGCCTGGGGCCGAAGGCAGCCCTGGCCCAGAAGCAGCACCGTGCGCCTGCCCTGCGCCGGGGGGGCGGCCACGGGCACCAGCACAACAGCAGCGGCTCTGGGGAGAGCTATCTCACCGAGCACAGCGGGTACCTGGCAGACGGGCCGGGCAGCGACTCCAGCTCGGGGCCCTGCCACGGCTCCTCCAGTGACTCCATGTTGAACTGCACAGACGTCAGTCTGCAGGGCATCCACGGCAGCTGCTCCACCTTCCGCAGCTCCCTCAGCAGCGACTACGACCCCTTTGTGTACTGCAGCTCAGAGGGACCCGCCACGGACAATGGCCAGGAGCAGCCACGGCCGCCAAGGGAGTTACGGCCCAGGTCCTTGGACCTGATGGTGCCTGAAGGTGCTGCTTCAGCCAAGCCCCAGGTGCTCAGCCACGTCCACTATCACCACCACCAGCACCACCACTACAGGAGAGACACGGAGTGTCCATCTGGGCGGGCTGGGCACGGGCCTGGGCAGCGCAAATCCCGGTACTCTGGGGCCAAGGCTGGCTTCCACGGTGCTCGGACACAAAAGAGGACTGAGAAAAGCCATCACTCTCATCAGCCTCTGGAAAGCAGCACTGTGCCACCAGAGGCAGCTCCGGTAGGACAGCCAGCCTGTCCCCAGCAAGGCCGGGAGCCCCCTCATGTCCCCTCCACTTCTCCAAACAGGTTGGACTTCAGTGTAGATGCCAACAGACAGTTGGGAGCAGCCGGCACATCCCCTGTCCCGCTGCCCCCGAGACACAGCTTACAGAGCCGTCATCACCGAAGGAAAAGAAAGTGTCCCCTCGAGCCCGACCCCGCTCTCCTGCCTGAGGACTCAGCCTTGCCCAAAGCCTACGATGCTCACGTTCCTCACGGCCATCCTGCTGGCTACCGCTGCTTGCCCGAAGTCCAGCCCCTGATCCCAAGCCCTCCCCTGCCCTCTGGCTCTGGCTCTCGGCCGCTCTGGAAGTGTTTAGTGCCACAGTCCGGCTCAGAGCTGAAAAAGCAGGAGGAGGGGTTGTCAGGACGGGAGGGAAACCGCACAGTTCCTGCTGATTTCTCAGGGACGGGCACCCCCAGACACAGTCTGAGTCTTCACCTTCACTGCCCGGCTCAGCAGGGCGGTCAGGGTAAGTCTGGAGTTGGCCTCTTCTTGCAGCAAGCAGGTGAATGAGCGTGGTTTGCTGAATGTACTCTGGCTGCCAGTAGACCTGGTACCTTCTCCATGGGCTTTCCTACAGGACCACTGACAACAGAAGTGTTTCAGAGTTCACCTGTCTGGAGATGATGACCTGAATGATTAGCAAGTTTGTTAACGAGTGCACCAAACCCTGCAGTCTCATCCTAAAATAATACAAATGAGAAATAAGGTGGCTGTTCTTAACTAAACATCTCTAGCAACTGGAATATCTCCCAAAGGAAGGGGTGGGACCACGTTGCTGAGTCCTTACATCAGTCTGGATGTCTTACTGGCAGAGTCGTTATCGTTAAGGCTTATTGGGCTCTAGTTGTTTCAGCCAACCCCAGCTAGCTGGAATCAATAAGGAAGGAAGTGTGTGTGGCCGGTGGTAGCAGCAGAACAGACTAAATGAGTTTATGGATTTGCACATCCTTGATTTCTCACCTGCCTCTGTTGCGTGGGAGTTGCTTTTTAGTGTCTTTTGGAAATCAGCTGTAATTAAAGCTTGGCCCTTTGCCTAACTGCTGCACAGAGAGGGAAAACGTGTTTGAGATGAGGTTGTTTGAAAGAACCTAACTGAGTTTAGCTCCCAGGTCTTGCTCTCTCAGGCTCCTCTGAACGCAGCAACCTGCGAGTCAGCACGGGCAGGTGCTGGCTCCAAGCAGAGCCTGGCTGCCTTCCTCGCCCTGCCACTGACTCACTGCTGCTCCTCCGGCAAATTGTTTTGATTTAGGTACCAAATACAGATCTAGCTGCCTAATTTCTGTTAAAATGCTGGCCTTAAACCTGTGACTCACCGTGCCCATTGTGCCGGGGAGATAATCACTTCCTCCCCATGCTCGTCTATCCAGCCCCACACCGCACCCAGGCTCCAGGAGGTGCAGCGCCCGCCGGGGAGGCAGCAGGGAAGGGGGAGAGGCTGATGGGGCTCGCTGCTGGCTGCCTGTGGCGCTCCCAGACTCCCAGGAACATTTTTTTTTTTTTTTTCCCAGGCACAGAAGTGCTTGACACTGCAGATAGGTGATCTGAGAGGTTCTTCAAAGGGCCCAGAGGGATGCTGCCATTTCGAGAGATAAGGAGGCAGCAGTGCAGAGATGTCTCCCTGGTTGGTCGGTAGTCTGAGTGCTGATGTCCCCTGAGCTGGAGGTGCTGGGCAGTGATATCACCAGGATGCAGCCCTCCCAGGACCACAGCAGGAGACCTCCCGGTGGAGAGAGCCCTCCAGGCATGAGGACAGGCTGCTCAGGAGCTGCTTTGAGCTCCCATTTCAAAAAGAAGCTGGGAGGACTACCCAAGACACTGAAGTAGGATCTGTGCACCTAACACAGGGTGCTGGGAGCTGCAGGGCCCAGGGCCCTGAAAGGGGACGGGCTGTGATGCCTCTGTCTCTTTGTAGATGGTCCCAGCAGCCCAAATCTGTGGCCACCTCCTGTTGGCGTGATGGGGAAAGGCTCCCCAATACCCACCCCGCACAGTGCCAGCGAGCTTTGCCAAGCACACACACCTTCCCTCCCTCTTACCTCCCTTTGCTGGGAGCCAGAAGGACCAATGTGTTTGGAAGTGGAGTGAGTCTGTGTCTATTTGATTGCAGTAGCTTCTGTGGATGCTTCCAGGACCAGCCAAAGGGTCAGAGTCTCCTTGTAAGACTGAGAAAATACATAGAAAGGAAGGATTTAACTTAATTAGGAACTGACGACAGTGGAAGAGAGTGGGAGCTCATGCAGGGGTTATGCAGAAAAGCCATCAAGCTGAAAACACGTTGGGTGACATGACACAACTTCTGAGTTATAATCACATCAGTTCTTTATCTTAAAAGAGGACTGGACATAAATCAATAGACAACAAGTAAAAAGAGCAAAGAACAATCCCAGTAGACAGTCCCATGTAAGCAGAACACAAAAAACCAGACAAGAACACCAAAGAGAAATGCATATATGCCTCTAAATAAATGTTGTAAAGCTAAAAATATAAATGGATGAATTAGAAAGTCCAGTTGTAAATTAGAGTTTTGACATAAACTTTTCAGAAACCCAGTTTAAAAAAAAAGGCCGAACAGTGGGACCCTGTAATTCCCAGGTGAAATTAGAGAGAGGAGAAGAGTGTGTCTCTTCTGGTCGCATGGGTGGGACACTCTGTGTTAAGGAGAGTATAAAGTCCAAATACAAATAACACAAAAATCCCCAGTTGCACCTAAGTATGGAGTAGTATGGTATTAGGGTTATAACACCCAGCATTAGCACAGGCTGCAAAAGAGGATCCTACATATACATGAGAATCTTCTTCAAATAATACTAAAAGAAGCAGTCAAAAGAATAAGATGCTTTTGGGCACAGGGATCATTCACAGCCCCAGAAAGGGCTGGGCAAGCACCAGAGAGGACAATTAGAGGCAAGAAGCCGTTCTTCCAAAGCAAAGGTGTGGCCAGACAAAGAAATTAGAAAAAAACTTGGATGCAAAGCTACGTGCGGAGCCACGGTGCGGCAGGCCGGGAAAGATTTCTGTGAACAACTTGTAAAAAAGAGACAGACTATTAATGCAAAAGTTTTCAGCTGCATCAGAAGGCAGGAGGATGCCAGAGGCTCTGCAGGTCCAGGGAGTAACGCAGGTCTAAGAGGGATGTTCAAGGGCTGTAACTGCATAGCAGAAGAGCAAACTGAATTTATTGCATTAGTGATCAGCGTGGAAGTGCTTGAGGAGATTCTCACCCTGGCACTGGTTCCGTGCATGGAGCAGAGGATCCCTCATAAATCACCCATTTCAGCGTTTCTGAAGCGCATCGATAAAGTGGATAGTAACTAATTACCAAGGCTACAGCTCGCTCACCTGGGCACCGGGCAGGGGCTCAAGCACGAAACTGCTAAATCATGAACATGAACTGCGATCTGTTACCCAGAGCCAGAAGGAAGAGCTGAGGGCTGTATCAGCTTAAAATAGCAGAAGCCACAGAAAGATGAGCCTGACTTTCCTGCCAAGCAAATTGTTAGAAATTCAAATACAGGGTCTGACTTGTAGGCACATGGATAAATGTGAAAACCAGGGGAGGAGGCAACACAACTTCTGTAGAGAGAGATAGCACCTTGCAGATTTTTTAGGGGAATGAAGCTCTCAAAGCATAAAAGGGAAGGTGCTCTCATAGGTAAGTAACTTGCTAAAAAGCGGGAGACAAAGCGCAGATCAGTCTTAATGGAGGAAGGTTACTTGAAGAAGGAGGAAAGTGGAGTTCTCCAACTGTCTGCACCTTTCAGCAAGTGCATAAATATCCTGGATAAGGAGAGGAGATGGCAACATTTATAAAAGACAAAATCCTTGAAGATTCTCAGCTTAGAAACTGGTCACAAAGCATTACATAAGGATGTCCTGTTGCTGAGTTATTGGGCAATGGAGTGGTGGATGGAATCCCATGTAAGGAGCACAAAATGCCATATACGAGGAGAACTGGTTCTAGTGAAAATCAAATTATTATTAGGAGCTAGCTGGGAACAGATGGGCAGAAAGTGCCCTTATGCATCTGCGTGAGTCTGTGTTGCTTTCACAGCCACCATCCGCCACTGACCACCGCTTCTCAAAAAAGGATATAGCAGACTTGGGAGAAGTGCAGAAAGGTATCAAGTACAATCACAACGAGGTTTTTCTGAGAAAACAGAAAGAATACAGAGACTTTCACGTGGGAAAAAGATGATTAGCAGGGGAAATGAAAGAGAGGATATGAAATTAGGAGAGCAAGCAGATAAGAGAGACTCACTGGTGCTTGTAACAAAATAAGTGGTGGCATGAAATGGGAAGCAGAAGCTTTAAAACACCCAATAAGGTAGCACACGGTGTGTAATGAAACTGGTGCTCATTGCCCAGAGGTTGTAGGTGCCAGAAGTAAAATGGGTTTGAGAGCCTAGATCAAGAGCTATCAAATGCGGAGATGCAAATACCCCCCTGGCTCAGGAAGTCCCTCAACCAGGGTTTCCAGAAGCTGGCAGTGCTCCTGAGGGATGCAGCACCCACCAGCAGTGTGGCTCCCTTGCGTGGCTGCCGGGGGAGGATGAACCTGGCGAGACTCCCCTTCCGTGGGCAGTGTCATGCACTGGCATCGCAGGGATCAACGCTGCCTGCAGCCATTGCCAGGGCACCACAGATGATGCCAGAGATGCCTGTATGATCTTGGAGTTTATGCCGCTTCCTTGGGCACCTCCACCAGCTTTTCTTGGTGGGGTTTGCATAGACACATCCCTGCCTCTCTTGCCTGGGAGACTATACCTGGGAGTTGTTTCACCAAGGAATCAATCCTCAAGCAATGCCGAATGGATCCTTTTAAGAGAAGTCAGACAACTGGCAGTGAGCTACAGCTAGATGGTTTCCTAAACCACCCCAGCATGCATGGATCTTGTCCCAGAACAGCCAAATTAAGCCCACCACGGGCTAATGAAATCTCTTGATTTCTCTTTCTGGGAAATCTCACCTCCTCCAGCACACTGTCAGCATCATCCCCCGCTCTTCCATCTCCTGCTCATCCTCTCAGCCATTCCCTTTCATGTCATGTCTTTGATCTTTTACTAGAGAGGGGGTGAAAGACCACTGTTAAAACCCAAAGAGCAAGATTCCTGTTGTGTCACTAAGGTGTGCTTCAGGTCATCACCCTGTGTGGGTCTCGATGGCCAGTTCAGCAGCTGAGGCTCTACCACCTCTCCTAATTCAACACCTTTTTTTTAACCTTCCTTTCTGTTTGTGTAATAGGGGACGCTCATACAGGCATGGTTTTCAAGAAAATGCTAAGATAATGCTATTTGAGACTTGGGGCATCTGACTGATCAGAGTGGTGGAAGCATGTGAGGGAAGCACTCTGTGATGGACAGCTGTACAAAAAGCTGTCTCTTTTGTGTTGCACAGAAGCTGACATACATGAGAAGCAGTTGGTGATGGCTTATTCAATGTACCAGTGACACAAATGCCAGATATGCTCAGACTCTGTGTTCTGGTACTTGGGCCATGCCTGCACACATGTAACACTCTGTCTGTGCATTAATTTTCCCACATCAGTTCAATACCTTTCCAAAGAAGAATCTCATTTGTTTGTTTTCTTCCCATGTATTTAATTTTCAGAGGCCCTGTTTCTATAGCTGGTGATTTATAACAAAGAGGAATTTGCTGTGACTGTTTTGAAAAGTTGTTTTTAATTGCTCTCTGTGAATATCTACATGGGCATTTGTTTCCTTTTGATCTCAGGAACATTCAGGAAAAGTGAAAAATAATGCATGTGTGCCTTTAGTGGACTATGCTGGCCCTACGTGAGAGCTCTGGGTAGGGATATGTCTCTGGGAAAGGGACCATGCTGTGTGCGTCAACAGTCACTTGGAGAGAGAGTGAAGCAGTAATGCAGAGTGCAGCATTTCTAGGTAGCCCCTATGATCAGTGTTTCAATGTAAAGTACTTGGCACTTGCCTGTCAATAGTTCACTGGGCAGGAGGGGGCTGGTGAAGAGCCTGAGCTGCAGTCCTTGCTGGGCACAAGGGACTGGTGTTTGTGGCTGACCACCACTCTTTGGGTTTGGCTGTTTGAGACTGGAAAGCAACTTGTGCAACCTCTTGAACAGCGTGAAATGCACAAGCCATCCCTTTCTTGCATGCACACATCACTTGGAGTCTGCTTTTGTGGTCTAGAGTTTCTGATGATGTTGTCCCCGGTCCCTGGAAGGTACTGCTGTGGCCCTGTGTGAATATGAATCAGTGGTATTTTCTGTTGCTAATAATTTTTAAAATGGTTGTACAGATCTTCTTCAAAGAGCAAACATCAAAAAGCCTCAAAAGCAAACACCCAGTAGCAATGTGAATCCTGAGCTGCACCATGTCCTTGGCCTGTATAATCTGAAATATTTGAAGAGTAGCTTGACATCTTATCTTTACATTTTATTGTGCTCTAACTTAGAAGAATAAACTGGCCAGAAAAGTCCCTACAAAATACTGGGAGTAACTTGGTGGCTTTCACTGCAGCATCTGTTCTCTGTAGGGCAGGGTCAAGGCCCCGGCAGCTGCAGGGTCCGTGAACGTTCAGCCAGTTGTATCTGACGCTCTTCTTTTTCCTTTTCTTTGAATGCAGGATCTGAAGAGGAGGTCCAAGATGTCCATGAACACTCAGTTTAATAAAATGCTGGCCTGTTTGCTTACTGGAGAGGTGGAGTGGACATGGATGTTCAGCGTACCAGCCACAGAGGAGCTGACACCTTGCTCTCTGCACAGGCAATGTGGGATGACCAGCCCTGCCCTGCACAGCCCAAGCCAAGATGCACACTGCAAATAAGCAATGTGACACTTGTGGTCTCCTCACACGTTCCCACGTTGCGATGGTGATACAAACACAGAGCCATGTTCTCCAAGTCCCCTTCTCCTTTGAAGGCACAGGCAGCCCATCTTCATCCCGTGGCATCTGTCTGTGTGGGCTGGCTTACTCAGAGGCCGGTCCTGGGAGTCACCAGCTGGAGAGCTCGCGGAGTGAGTGCAAGCTGCTATTTTGGCATGTTCATGCCACAGAAGGTTATGCTAAACACTTCAGAAATAAACAAGCCTTCGAGACCAAAAGCTGCAGAAATTACTTTCTGTGGCCTGGTAGCTCCTGACTTCATTTCCTCACTTAGGTCAAAAGCCAGACTTCTTCATTTAACTTTTCCATTCTTAATTCAGACACAGGAACAAGCTATTCTCCATCTCACCACTCACAGGTCTGCTCTGCAAGTGCTTCTTCTGACTTCCTTGGAAACCAACAGCTCTCACCACTTTTGATCACTTCATGATGCCATCTCAGCCATTTGCTGCATTTTGCCAGCAGCAGCAGGAGAGCTGAAGACACGGGGACAATGTCAGCATTTCTGGGAGGGAGCTGGGTCAGACTCTTTCCATTGCAAAGAATCCACCCTCTCATCTGGCAACGTGAACAAATCTCTCACTCATCCTCTAACTCCTCCACCTACCCTCAAAATAGGTGTGGTGGCCAGCCCTCTTAAAAGCCAACCATTTGTTGAGCATATTTCAGACCTGAGATGCCCCTGTCACAGGAGTCATGGAAAACCCTTGTTTTCACATAGCTCCTGCTTCTCTCCTTCCTCCCTCATTGCCCCAAGACAGAGCAAAAATTCCCAGCAAAAGCACCCATAACAAATGCAGAGCAGAGCCCCCATCCATCACCCAGCCTTATTTTCCTGAGACACCTGAAATGATCCTGCAAAGGAATTTTTCAAAATACCCTTCTGCCTTTAACAGTTTGATGATGGACAGAGAAAAGTTGAGAAACTGCTAGGCTCTCGGTTTATTACTTCTTTTTCCCCCCTCCCATCTGCAGGCTCTTTTTTGGAATGCCATTAGTTCTTATTTCCTATATCTCATAATTTGGGGACATTCAAGTAAAATAAAACCTTCTAAATTCAAAGTATATAGAATCCAAACAGTTTCCATACAGCAGGAAATTAGACTGTCAAGTCCATTGCTCTAAATGATTGTTCAGGCCAGAGAATTAGCCAGATTCCCACGTGAAGTGAATATGGCACCAGGCATTTCCAGAGCTGGTGCCAACAAAGCAGGGGTGAGGCTACAGCACTGGAGCTGAAGGTAACTCCTGACAATTTGAATCTCGCTGTAGGGACAGACTTTCCCAATCTGCTCAGTGCTCACTAAGCTTTCTGCGTCCTCCTTTGAAGCAGAAGCTTCTTCTCCAGTTCAGGAGAATGCACTGGTTCCGTAGTCCCAGTTCAGGATAATCCTGCCTCTGCCTTCCTTTGTCCATGAGGAAAGCTTTTTATGGGGTTTGCTGCCCTTCATCTTTCAAAAAGGCGTCTTTGTTCCAGCTGCTGATCAGTCACTCACATTCAAGTGATGGTATTAAAAATCAGCCAGTAGCACTGTTTTAAAGCAAAATGTTATTCCCTTGCCAGTGTTCATTTCTTGTCTCCTGTGACCAAGCCACTGCAGGACGTTTCAGTCTAGAGAAAAGCTGAATTTCTTTCATCAAAGAACACAGCAGAATTCTATTTTAACCTTTCCAGGCTCTTCTGGCTTGTCCTACAGAGCAAGCAGAAGACACAAGCTCAGACATTTTTTCCCTTGCAGGGAAGTCAGTCTTAAACTAGAGGAAGAAAACCCAGGAGAGGGTCTAGATTCCCCCTGTTCAACTTCTTGTGTGCATTGTCCAAGGCTTGATTCAACCAGCTCCCTATGTCCTTGACCATCCTGGAGGGCTCAGGTGACTTTACAGAGGGGAGAGTCATAAGGTCTGGGTACTCCCACTGGTTTCTTTAGGAATCAAGAAGGCTGAGAGCCTCCACGGATGCATTTCATTGCCTCACAGGAACAAGTGTCTAGTTTGCAGTCTAAAAGTCCTCCTCTCTTTACCTCCTTACCCTTAAAAAAATAGGAGGGCTCTGAATCTGCGGCAAGCCCCAAGCTTCTTGGAGAAAATGGTGAGCACTAACGCACCCTTTCCACTCCCTACTGCAGTATTACCAGGCTGCACAGGGCAATGGCTACTTTAAAGTGTTTTCCTTTCCTGATATTATGCTGCTGCTCGTTTTCCACTAGAAAACAGCCATCCTGGCCGCTGGGCTCCCTCCCCGGGGCCTGCTGAGTTGAATGAGGGTGTGCAGGTCTGCCTCGGTGGATTCTCAGGTAGGAGGAGAGGGAGGAACTCCCCAGGAAGGCGATCTTTTAAGATCCTCTTTAGTAGATGGACTACCATCCTTGGCAGCCCGGAAGGGAAGAAATGAGAAAAATGGGGAATGGTCCTCTCAATTCTTGCATCTCTTGGTCCTGGGTGATGCCTCTGAGCACAAAGTACTCCTGGGTTCCGTCACCAGATTTCTTCAGCATCACTGCAATGAAGCAGAGCTCTTTTTCTTCCGTCATCTCCACAGTCCCAGCTGAAAAGTGATGGAAGCCAGAGCATCCCAAACTCCCTCTCTCCGAAACGGAAGCCCCAGCCCTTTTCACCAGGCTGGCTGGACCTCTTCCCCTCCCACACAGAACCTCTCCTCTCCTTTGATAATGTTCAGATCCTTTTGAAATGTGAATATAGGCTTGGTTTTTTGTTGTTGGTTTTTGTTTTGATTTGGGTTTTGTTTTGTTTTGGTTTTTTTTGGCCAAGTCTCTCCTGGCTCTTAGGGCTTGGGAATAAATTACGACCCACCAAAAAAAAAAAAAAAAGGAAAAAAAAAGAAAAAAAGGGGAAGAATACATTTTATATATATGCAAAACTGTGTATTTATGTCCGATAGAAACAAAAGATGTGTGAATATGCTGATGTGCTGAGAAATATATTTATTTACTAATATATTTATCCACGTACCCGGTCTGCTGGCCTTTTTTCTTCCTCGTACCGAGCCATGGGGGGTTGTGCCTCTGTTATAAATGTCGTGGAAATAAAGTCTGTCCCCGGCCGGTGGCGGGTCGGTGGCCGGGCAGAGCCGTTGTGCCGGTTCTGGTGGTCACCGGAGCCCCGGTACCGCTCCCCGGCGGCTCTCTGCCGCCCTCCCCCGGGCACAAGGCCGGGGCCCTGTGAGGGCCGCGCCGCCGCCATTGCCAGGCCCTGTCCCTCTCTGCGCCTGCGCGGCGGCGGCGGCAAGATGGCGCTGGAGACCGTCCCCAAGGATCTGCGGCACCTCCGCGCCTGTCTCCTCTGCTCCCTCGTCAAGGTGCGACCGGCACCGGCCGTTCTCCCCTCCCTCCACCACCCGGCTCGTCCCTCGGGCCTTTCCCGGGGCTTCCCGTCCCGTCCGTTCTCCTTCATGCCCGCGCTGACGCCTCTGTGTTCGTGTTCCCCCCCCCGCCCCGCTTCCTTCCGCCTCAGACCATCGACCAGTTCGAGTACGATGGCTGCGACAACTGCGATGCCTACCTACAGATGAAGGGCAACCGGGAGATGGTCTACGACTGCACCAGCTCCTCCTTCGACGGGTGAGTGGGGCCTGGGGACGCCGCGGTGGCACCTGGCCGGGAATTGTCGCCCTCCCCACTCCAGGGCTGGTGTCGCACACCTGGGGCTTCACCCTGTGCCCAAAGAGCCGCTCGATACCAGAGCAGAGGTGTTTGTTTCTTGCCTGTCCGCACTGAAGGAGGTGGGTGCTGGATGGTGGCTCTACAAAGCTACCAGGCCTTTTGAGAAATAAGCCAGGTATTACAGACCAAATAATCATAGAATGATAGAGCGGTTTGGGTTGGAAGGGACCTTAAAGACCACCCAGTGCCACCCTCGATCCTGGATAGGGACACCTCCCACCAGACCAGGTTGCTCCAAGCCTTGAACCCCTCCAGGGATGGGGCAGCCACAGCTTCTTGGGGCAACCTGGGCCAGGCTCTCACCACCCTCACACCAAAGAACTTCTTCCTCATATCTCATCTAAATGTTCTCTCTTTCAGTTGAAAACTGTTCCCACTCATACTATGGCTCCCCTCCCTGATCGAAAGCCCCTCCCCATCTCTCCTGGAGCCTCTTGAGGGACTGGAAGGGGCTCTAAGGTCTCCCCGGAGCCTTCTCTTCAGGCTGAACCCCCCCAACTCTCTCAGCCTGTCCTTCCAGCAGAGGGGCTCCACCCCTTGGGGCATCTCTGTGGTCTCCTCTGGTCCTGCTCCAACAGGTCCATGTCCTGCTGTTGGTGGCCCCAGAGCTGGAGGCAGCACTGTAGGGGTGTCTCCCCAGAGCGGAGCAGAGGGGCAGAATCCCCCCTTGCCTTGCTGGCCACGCTGCTGGGGATGCAGCCCATGGTGTGGGGGTCCTTCTGGGCTGCCAGGCACATTGCCGGATAACGTTGAGCTTCTCATCCACCAACACCCCCAAGTCCTTCTCAGGGACTCTCTCTAGCCGTTCTCCGCCCAGCCTGTATTTGTGCTTGGTATTGCCCCAACCCACATGCAGAACCTTGTACTTGTCCTGGTTGAACTTCATGAGGTTGGCATGGTCCCACCTGTCCAGCCCACCCAGGTCCCTCTGGGTGGCATCTCTTCCCTTCAGCATGTGTAAACCTTGCTCAGGGTGCACTCCATCCCACTGTCCATGTCGATGACAAAGATAATGGCAAAGAAGAAACCATAGTGAATGGTGAGTCAGTCATTCCTTACTCCTCTAATGTTACATATGAAAGTAGAAATTCTCTTAATCTCAGGACTCCCCTGTTGTCTTTATTTGAGAGCAGTTTGGTGCTTTCTGGGTCTGATGACCTGGGGCCAGACTCCTGCCACTGGGGCCATCGCCACATTCATCAACTACATAAGCCCACCTGGTTGCAAAACTGAGACTGTTAACTCTTTATTTTTGACAACAGGATCATCGCCATGATGAGCCCTGAGGACAGCTGGGTTTCCAAGTGGCAGCGAATCAGTGAGTGATTTTTCCCAGCTGGTTTGGGAGCTACAGCAACTTTTTCTCCAGCAAACCCTTCTCTGGGACAGTGGGAGTTGCTCTTTGGGATCCTGGTGGGGGCACTGGCAGAGGTGGGCCCGGAAGGTTGCCCACACAGGTGGTGTAACTCAGTGTTTTCTTCCCACCAGGTAACTTCAAGCCGGGTGTCTACGCAGTGTCTGTGACCGGCCGCCTGCCCCAAGGTAACACCACTGGCCTGTGTGAGGGGTTGCTCCTGCACAGATGGCAGCTGAGGGTGTATTAGCGTTGGGGCTGTAGCCATCTCTCTGAGGTGACAAACTGGTACAGCATTGAGCTGTACCTGTGTGATAGATCAGGATTTGGGGGTTCAGTGAATGCTGTGTGTTGCAATCAGAGCACACATGGTACCAAACCAGAGGGATGAGCAAGGTAAGCACAAGAAGGAGACGCTGAAGGGGAAGGTGGTTTTGGGGTCCTGCAGACGGGTCTTCTACCTGCAGTCATTCAGTGCTCTGCCTGCCAGAGGGTGATACTGAAGATGCTGCAGACTAAAACTGTGATACCAGGCAGGCCATCAGAGGGGCAAACTGTGCTTAAAGGGTGACTCCAGAGAGCGTGTACATTTCAAACCATTCAGCCACAGGGAAACACCAAGGTTTGTCCATAGAAAAGAGTTTTGCGGGACAGGGTGCTGTTAGGGCAATCTTGGTGAGCAGATACCCCTACCCATCATCTTGCTGCATTGAGGGCTTATGTTAAGGTAGGTTTTCTGCCCATATAAATGGAGTGGAGATGTAGAGGGTTGGCCTTATCTCTGTAATGCAGAAGCTGCATCATCTGTGTGGCTGAGAGCCCCTGCCCTGACTGTAGCCCCAGAGCAGGCTCCTGACCTGTGCCCCTTCCCAGAAGCATAGCAGTCTTGTATCCCTCAGGGAAAGCTGTGCTTGTGTCTGGAGTCCCAGGCTCGTTTCTGACCTGAGCTCTGCTCTGCATTGGGAAGGAGCTGAAACATCACAGGGCTTGAAGCTGGGGGCTGCAGGCACAGCTTTGGGCACATCTGAAATAATTGAGGTGCAGCAGGTGTTGATGATGGGGGGAGTGCAGGTGGGTGATGCTGTCTTCAGCCTTGCTCAGGCCAACCTCGTGACCCGGGGAGCAGTGAGAGGGCTGGGGAGCATGGAAACCAGCAGCCTGCACTCACGTCCTCGCATGCTGTCATTTGACTGTCCCTTGGTACCTGGTGCTGGTGAGAGCTGTGCTGAACCCCACGGTGCTCTTCTGCTGTCCCTCTTCTTACTGAGAAGGTGGGATGTGCAGGCAGGTCACAGAAGTGACTGAAAGATTTAAGAAGTACCCTTAAGAGCTTGACCTGTTCAGTACAGCCATAATAGTCAGCCATTTTCAGGTAGGAAATAATGTAAATAAAATCTCTACCTGGGTCTTTCCCAACGCACAGCAGAGAGTTGATGTTTAGGAGCTCTGTCTAGGCATTAAAACTAGAAGAGGGAACACTTTAATGGTTCTATTAGATGAAATGAAGAAGGTGATTGTTCAGCTCTTGATCTCTACAGTGAAGGCTACATGACAGAGCAACCAGATTATTTTCAGGGCTCCTCATCCCTAGGGAATACTGACCTGTGTTTGTCTCCTTGCTGCAGGCATTGTCCGGGAGCTGAAGAGCCGTGGTGTGGCATACAAGTCCCGAGACACAGCTATAAAAACCTAAGGGGATCTTGTGCCATCTGGAGGGTTCCCTGGTGCTGCACTGGGTGATGCATCGGGCACGGGGGGCCCTGCTCCAAAACCTTTCAGCTTTAGCACGTGGGAAAGTGAGCCTGGACATGGAGGGACCTCGCTGGCTCAGCTCCTCCGGCTGGGTACCTCTGGACTCTGCCCACACGGACCCTAGAAACCTTTTTGAGCCTTGACAAGGGGGAGGGCAGGGAGCAGGTGTGGGAAAGCTGCATTTAATGATGATGCACAAGCTTTTTTACAGTCGGTGTGGAAAAGGGGGGACCTGGGATAAGGGATAGCTGTGTAAATATTTCAATAAAACATGCTCCTTGGTCAGAGTGGGTCCAGCTTGTATGTGCAGTCACTTACCTGCTGCAGGCATGGTGAGGGGCTTCACACTCAGCCTGCCACCTGCCAAACTGGACCCTATGGTTGCCATTACTTCTTATGCAATGGACCACGTTCCTGCCTCAAAAGGGGACTCTGCCCTTCCTGAATTGGGGTGTCCTTCACTGTAGGATCAAGGAGACGGGTGAATTTACCTCTCATCTCATGGCTGGATGGAATAGGTAAGGTGATGTTAAGTATTCCATATGGAGGTAGTTATCTGGAGGTCATGGTGCCCTGGGCCTGCAGGACCCTGTGCAAGGGACACAGAAGCAGGCTCGAAGGACCTTTATGTGTCCATCCCTGGCCTGCAGAACCCTGTTCCAGTGACACAGAAGCAGGCTCGAAGGACCTTTATGTGTCCATCCCTGGCCTGCAGAACCCTGTTCCAGTGACACAGAAGCAGGCTCGAAGGACCTTTATGTGTCCATCCCTGGCCTGCAGAACCCTGTTCCAGTGACACAGAAGCAGGCTCGAAGGACCTTTATGTGTCCATCCCTGGCCTCCAGGGCAGGCAGAGCGAGATGAGCCCATTGCTGGTGTGACTGGGAGGCAGCTCCAGGCCTTGTGGAGAGGATGGATGGACAAACAGGTGGAAACACCCATCCAGCCTCATGTCTGTAGAGGTCTGGCTGTCACTGCATGTCCTGAGCATCACCTTGGGCAGTATCTGCATTGTGTGGGCTCCTGAGATACTTGGTCTCCTGAGCTGATGGCTCCTGCTTCATTTCTTCTGTTAGTTCAGCAGCAGCCACCAATCACAAAGGTACCTTGTCCAAGAGCAGAATCCTAGATTAGTAGCCCTGTGAAATAAGCATTTTGGTTTTCCTGAGATAATGCTGCAGCAGGAAAGCCTGATTCTTGTTTTCTTTAGACAAATTGTAGAAAACCAATGCAGCTGGAAAACTGCATTTGGTCTGGGGCAAAAGCGGCTGCAGTGAAGGGAATGCCTCGCTGCTGGGAAATGATGCTGGCAGGAGTGTGGAGGCAGCATGCCCTCTGTCCTGCTCTGCTTTGTCCAGCTGGCCCCGAAAAACAGTCCTAAGTGCTGTGGGTCAGGTGGACCATGGCTCCGTGCGGGGCTTCGGAGCAGGCGTGCGGCTGGAGAAGTCTGCAGAAAGTACGGGAGAGGCTGCATGGAGGTGAGATGAAACACTGCAGAGAAAGAGGTCTTCAACCACGTTCCTCCTGGGGACTTGCAGACATGATGCCGAAGTCAAGAGTATTTGCTGGGTGCAGACCAGACCAAGTCAAGTTGGTGGTGGGCTCTGGGCTCCAGAAGATGCCTCCAGGTACAGATCACCTTTTGTGGGAAGATCTGAGAGCGCTTCAGCCCCTGAGAATGCTTCTTGGGAAGATGGAGCAACAGGTCATGCCCTCAGGCAGAGGAGGGAGTTGGTTGTGGCTTTCACACACCCCTGGTGAATGCCCAAAGCACTTGAGTTACCTGATAATTACCCTCCAGGCTTGCTTGGTTGCAGAGACTGGGCAGGAGATGTACCTTGGAAAGACCTGGTAGATCAGGTCTGTGGGTAAGAAGTGTGACTGTCCCGGCAGCTCGGGTGCAGGGTGCTCATGTTTGGACATCTTGGCCATGGACCTGCAGGCCCTGGAGGGTGCATTTGTCCTGTCTGTGCTGTGAGGCATAGGGTGAGCTGGGATCTCCCTGGGGTCCCTTTGTTCCCTGGGGAACAGTCCTGGAAAGCTGCAGCCTGGGCAGCTGTGTGAGGCTAACAAGAGCTGAGAAGGTCCAGATTGAAAGGGATCATGGAGGATGAGCTGGGCAGCTCTTCCTCTGGCCAGAGGAAGATGTGTCTGGATAGCGAGGTTTTGGCTCCTGCTGGGTTGGAAGGGTGGTGGGGATGAGAGAGGACAACCAGCCTGGCCATGTCCCGACCTGGAAGCCTCACCCTCCCAGTGCCACCGGGTGGCAGCACGGCTTTGTGGAGCGGGGCTGAGCTGGAGCTGCTGGAGAAGGACCTGAGGCACATCTCCTTTTTCCACTGCATTTCACAGCACCTTTTGCTCCCTACCGATTTCCCAGGTTGTGTCCCCCTTCCCTGGCTCCAGAGATGCGGCTGGCCATGCTGGAGGTGCGTCAGGATCCCCTCCCCACTCTCAGGCCACCTTGTCCCCTGGCCCCACAGTGCAGAGGAGGTGCCCTTATTCAGCCAGCCTTGGGTATGGGTCGTAGGCATGGGGGGTTCCCGTGTGCCCCCACCACCATCTGGGAAGAAGCAGTAACACAGTCACTGCCTGGAACCAGGAGCTTGGCTTAGGAAATCATCCCCAGGGAGCAGCGTGTGTTGTCCCTGTGCCTCTCAGGGAAAGCAAGGGGGCTTGGGACCCCCCCAGGGACCTCACCCCTGCCAAGAAGTGCAGCCCCTCCGGGTTATGCAGAGTTAAGACTGGTGGAAGCTGCAGCGTGGTGCAACAGAGTCAGAACGGCGAGGCTGGGGGGCTGAATGTCGGTGGTCTCTCCGGGCTGCACCTCCTCTGCCTGCAGCAGCTCGCAGCGCTTTGAGGACCTGGTGCCTCCTCTCGGGCTGGCTCAGTGAGACGCTTCCCTGCCAGCTCGCTCGCCCCCACACACACCGCATCGCCCAGCCCACACTGCCTGAGTGATTCATTGCTCCTGGGCTGCAGGAGCTGAGCGTTGGACCTCTGCAAAGCACCCGAAACGAGCAATTCGGTTAGACTCTAGCCCTGGAGCTGCCAGGGTTTTGTAGCAGCAAAAAGCAAGCGGATGCAGAGCGTTATTTGCTGAGAAAAGTAGGTCAGGGAGCTCTCACGTTGAAAAAATTGGAGGAAAAATGTGCGGCAGCAGCGGCCTGGGCTGTAATGGGGAGAGAAAGCGTCAACCGGGCAGGGAGCTGTAGATCTGAGTCAATTTAAGATGGCTCCTCCCCCTGCACCAAATGACGCTAAAATATTTCAGCCAGGCCTAAAAATCCTGCAGGTTTGGCACCCGAAGTGGGCTGGCAGCGCTGGGGGCAGAGCGGGGGGGGAACACAGGGCAGGAACCACGAGCCAGTGGATTTCTTCGTGCGGGTTTTGAGAACCGATACCCCGGCTCTCCCTCCGGGCCAGAAAAGTGACTTTCCAAAACCGCAGAGCACGCGGTGTCTCTACGTGCAGCAGCTGCCGGCGGCGCTGGGAAATGCCTGGCTGAGCCATCCCCACCTGCGCGGGGGCCCCAGAGCTGCCCCCCCAGGGACAGGGACCTGCCCACGCACTCCGTTCCCCACCACCTGGGGACGAAAGCCGCTCACGTTGGCCTTTGTCTTGTAGCCTGGGCAAGCTGGGCTTGAGGCGAACAGGGATGGGTGTTAGAGTGTGTTGGGCTCCAGCCAGGGAGGCCTGGGGGTGAGATGGGTTGAGCCCCCTCCTTCCCCCCAGTTTGGCCCCCGTGGATGCTCTGTGCACGCTGTGGCATCGTCCCCCTCTGTCACCTCGGTGCTGATGCAAAGGGCAGGGGGCAGAGGTGCTGCCCAGGGCCGGTGGCAGCAGCATCAGGGAGGCTTCACCCTAAATCCACTTTCACTTGCTGCCTCGCTGCCTTCCAGCGTGTGGATTGGACTTGCCCAGGTGCCTTTTGCCATCCCCGTGTGCCTGGGGGGGGCTGGTTACCTACCGCAGGGGTGCAGAGACCCTTGGAAGTAGGTGCTGGCAGCGGGGTTAAAAACCCCAAAACCCCAGCTTTACGCTGGTTTTCCTTGGAAACTGGCCAAGGAGACCTTGGCAGGGTGGATGTGCCGGGGGAGGTGACCTGAGGTGTTCTCCTGGTACCCATGGGGTGAAACACTGCTGGAGCAAGGATGGCAAAGCCACAGTGCCCACCGTTAACAGGTGGGCCATCGTGCCCATCATCCCCATCATCTCTGTGTCAGGGCCTGTGAGGAGAAGCCACCGAGGCACCCAAGTGTGTCTGATGTGGCGGGGAGAGGAGGGGGCCCATGGGCAGCTTTTGGCAGCTGCTGTTTGGACAGGCTGCAGAGGGCATGGGTGCAGGTTTCGGAGGTGCAGGCAGAGAGGAGACAGCGCTGCCATGTGCACCCTTCCACCTGGTGCACTGGTGATGGAAGTGGGTGGAGGAACTGGGACGTGTTCCCTGCTGAGGGGATCTGCAGGAAAATTGGGGAGCTCTGGTGTATGGTGTGTCCCCTGGGTGTTTGTCCCTCAGGAATTGCAGTGGAAGGAGGAGGCCCTGCTTTGAGGTGAAGAGGCAGGCTGGTGGGCCATCAGTTCCTGAAGAAGGGCCTGCAAAAGAAGATTACTGCTGCCCCTTGCACACCTGGTGCTGTTTGCAAAGAGGCCATCAGCTGCTTCATGGTGGACCTCTCTAAACCCACTGATCTGCTGACAGAGTTGGGGTTTTGGTGGCTGGGAGACACAAGAAGCTGGTGGAAGGTCTCAAACCTCCTCTGGGCTGAGACCACTCACCCTCCTGGTCTGCTCCTGCAGCTCTGCATCACAGGGAGGGGCAACAGCAAGGGCTGGTGGGGCAGAGTGGGTTCTCACCCTGTTGGTAGAGGTTGGTGGGGGTGCTGAAGGCACGTTTCCTTAAGGCAAAGGGAAAAGTGAGACCACAGATGAAGTCACAGGAGGAATTTGGGAACCTCACAGTACTTACCCCATCCCCAGCTCTCCTGAATCTCCTGCTGCATCCCAGGTGGCTCTTGCCCTTTCCCTTCCTGGCTAGTTGTACATCACCCAGGCTCTGCCCAAAGCACATGCTGGGCTGGAAGGGGCTTTGTCCCTGTCATGGGAATGGTCCTCCTGTACAGGGAGTCACAGAGGAGCTGCTAAGCGACCAGAGCCCTGGGGCATGAACCGGATGAGGACATCACACCTCTTATGGTGGGTCCCCAAACAACCCAGCCCGTGGTGCAGGGCAGGGTGTCAACATGCCCCGATGGCCACAAGATCCAGCCCCTTGGCCAGGTTGGGGGCTCT